CTTTGGCTTGTATCCAATGCTGCACAGTTCCGCTGGCTCAATTGGACTTCCATTTCCTCTCCTCCTCCCCACACCCCACAATCTGCTCCAGAGGGTCCACCAACCCACAAGCTGCTTTTGAGGGCATGTGGAGGGCTAGAGGGACAGAAGAGGAAGCTCTGTTGTGTACATAGAGGTCTCTAGTGCTACCAGAGTTCCAGCGCTGGATACAATCCTTTATATTGAGCTATTTGTTTGGGAATATGTATATTGAAATGTAATGTTTTTTCATGTCTGCCAGGTTGGTGGCATTCTTCTTATTTCTGATATATATGTTCTTCCAGCTCTTTAATTATCCAATTAAGGTTAGGCTTAGTGTAGGTATTTCACAGGGCAATCCTGTAGTTTTGCTATGCCAGAGGGCCATTTATAATGCCACAATGCCAGTGTAACTTGGTAGCCAGCACAAAAGAGGAAACACCACTCCAAGAAGCATAGAAGAGAGCAACACTGCTAGCACACCACCAGCATCCAGGGCAAGGACATACTCCAATCAATCACGGTTCAGTTGACATATGGTCAACTCCATGATTGCTCCCCACTTCATCACATATACAACACACAATCTACCAGGCATGATGGTGCCAAGTACATTCCACTAAGGCCCTGCTGTGAAGCAGGCAGGAAGAATCCAGTAACTGAATCCAGGAATCTCCACGGGCTGGGGTTTGCATCCCATTACTGTTAAGCATACACTGGTTATAAACAATCATTTGACTGCACAACACAAGGTAACAGGAGGAGAAGCATTACAAGACACAAGGGGAGTGGGAGCACAGGCTGGAACTAGGACAGACAAGGGGAAGTCAGAACCTTGCTCTCACAGGAATAACCTCCATTACCAACCCTTTGGGGCCCAGGAGCACATCTGGAAATCTCACAAACTGTCGTGGGGCACCACAAAATTCCCATTTTGCAGAAGAAAAGCTGGCAGTGCTCACAAATATCCCCATCACAATAATACCAGACAAAACATCCAACCCCCCCCCAATAAACACAGACAAGAAAGAAGAAAAAACAGGCATTCCCAACCAGACAACCCAACAACACAAACCTCACTGGTTTTACAAATTGGGGAGGATAGGGAACCTTGGTGGGCACCAGGTGTGGGTGGGTGAGAGAGGCTGGGGACCTAGCTTATAACTTTTGTCCCATCATCTTCTTGGCAGTGCATTTCAATATTGTTTAAACACATACATTACTGATTCACTTGGCTTGCCAGCCCTGCTGGTTACCAAGCCCTTCACCTCAATGGTCTCGTTTCTTGCATTGCCCCCAAAATGACTTTCATGGCACTAGCACCCATTCTGTCATTTCCCTTACAGTGGTACCTTGGGTTACATATGCTTCAGGTTATATACGCTTCAAGTTACAGACTCCGCTAACCCAGAAATAGTACCTCGGGTTAAGAACTTTGCTTCAGAATGAGAACAGAAGTCGTGCTCCAGTAGCGCGGCAGCAGCGGGAGGCCCCATTAGCTAAAGTGGTGCTTCAGGTTAAGAACAGTTTCAGGTTAAGAACAGACCTCTGGAATGAATTAAGTACTTAACCCAAGGTACCACTGTATTGATATTCCCTAGAGCCTGAGTGGGCAACAAGAAGTCAGTGACCTTGGTCCCTGGTAGCAACAAAGTTACTTCCCCATCCCAGTCAGTCCCCTATCCTGAAGCCAACTGAAGTATGATTGAAGTAGGGAAACAAATCCCTGTCTGCTACCTCATAGTAACAAAGATGCAAGAGCAGTGACAGAGTGAAGGAAGTTATTGAACAGTGCCATGGATGGTACGAGTTCTGAATAAAAAGAGGTGTGTGGGTTGCCAAATACTCATTCCAAGAAATGAACTGTGCCTTTGGGCAGTCAAATGTTCTCCATGTTTTCATCTACTGCATAGCTTAGCTGTCATGAAGCGTGAAATGTGCAGGACCTGCTGGGAACAGATAAGCTGGCAATCCCACAGAGTAACAGCCAGAAGCACTCTGGTCTCTGCTCCTAGTCATGCTGTGGATCAACTTGTCTGTACACAACCATTATGTCATGTTCTATGCATCTGTTGGAGGTCTGCCTGTGCAAAGCAAAGAGAGAATAATGTAGTTAGCAGCTAAACACATAGTCAACCTGGATGCACAGTTGATGTTCATGAAGAAGTAATAGAGAAAGGAAAGTGGTGTCACCTGTGTGCTATTCTAGTGCCCCTGTTTCAGCCTCTTTCCCCCTGTGGGAAATACTGTAATTACTGATGGAATTCTTATCACTTTATTTTTAAGGACTTGAAGTGGACTTTGTCCAATGATAGTTTTGGTCCCTGAAACCAGGCAGCCTTCAGGTTGCACATGAGTGTTTGGGCAATAGTAGCTGGCATTCACCAAGAGAAAGCTACTTGCATATGGGATTGCATGATTATCTATATATCTTATGGTCGTTCAGAGGAGGGTCCTCTCCCATCATTTTTTTCCTAGAAATAAAATTGTTTATCCAAATTAAAACAATTGATCAAGATGTCTGAACTATAATATTGATGCCTGTCAGGTTGAGATGAAACAAGATTACAGAACCACATGATAGAGATTGTGTGCCATCTTCTATATGCGGACATAAATGGTATAATTTAATGTGAAATGACTCACTGCAACCCTTTTACCACACAATTAATAGCATGTGAGAGCCTTTTTCAATTTTGTGATCAGATGCTAAAATATCTTGCAGAATTCATATAGATTAAAGCTATTTTAAACTTTGGATTCAGATTTCTTCAGCATTGCACAAGAGGGAGGTGTATTTGGGAGAATATTTCGCAGCTTGGTTAGTTCCCCAAAACAGCTCTGTGAGAACTGTGCATGTTCAGTGGCTTCCAAATGCTGACTGACAACTAACTGCTAGGTGGGGTGGGGGGCAGAAAATGGTTTACAGGGAAGAATGTCTAGGAGAATAAATAAATAGAATTGTTGGGATATTGAATGCTGCAACATTTGTTTTTTAAAAAAATAGTTCCTGTCTTCCCTCCAAAGATCTCAAACCAGCATACATGGTTTCCCCCCACCTCTCATTTTACCCTCACAACAGCCTTGTGAGCTAGGCTAGGCTGAAAGAGAATGACTGACTAAAGATTGCTCTCTGAACTTCATGACTGAATGAAGATTTAAACCTGTGCCTCCCCAATCCTAGTTCAGTGCTCTAGAAATTGAATGTGTGTGCAAATGCATAATAAATAAATAGCTGACAAAAATAAGTGAATGCATACCGTTATGAAATATGAAATTCTTGAAGGAAAAAATTCTGAGTGAGTACAATACTGTTCCTTCACATGCTCCATCATTTTTAGCTTACGTCTGTAATTGAATGTGGAAGAGATGTATTTATAGTGTATAATCCAGAGATAGAATATTGGTTGAAATTTTGGTGATGGCATTTCTCAGCAAATGGTTGTGAAAGAACTACTGGAAGACTTTGCACAGATTGGTATTTAAAGATGATGTGCCAACATCTTTCACGAACTGCATCAGCTTCCAGTTTCCCTTGGGCAGTGGAACTAAATAGCAACATGCTGGCATCTACCATTGGCCAAGGAAACAAGGGTCAAATGGGAGGCTGCACATCTTGCTTGCCAGGAAGAGCATCACTGCAACAGGAAGACCAGCTTGGCCCCTTTCATTGGCCAGTGAAGGTGCAACTACATGGAGCCGAAGCAAGGGGAAAGGTCTCTCTGGCTCCATCAGCCAGAGGAACAAGAGTCACCAACTTAGGCAGGAACACCATCAAGGAAAGATCAGTCTGGCTCAAACTAGATATAAATGCTTGTAACACATCACTTTATTCCAACTTGTTTTCCTCGTCTACCTTCTCCCTTCATTCCTCTCCTCTTTTTTGCCTTGTCTTTTTTTCTTTTAAGCCTGCTAAGAGGGCTTGATCCTCTCTCCTTTTTTAAAAAATGTGAACTGCTTTGTGAGACATTATTGTCTGAACAGCGGGATACAAAAAAATTAATAAATAGCAGCACACTACTGGCTTTCAGTTATTTTTTTAAATTGTGCAAGGAACCTGGGCTATGTCAGAAAAAAACTCCTCAATGAAGGGCAATTCCAGCTAACTTCTTATAATAATAATAGTAGTAGTAGTATACTATTACTATTATTTTATTTATACCCCACCTATCTGGGTAGGTTTCCCCAGCCACTCGAAGTAGCTTCTTAACTTGTTTTGGGGAGGATCTTGCTTTAGATTATTGGGAAACCATATTTTGTGGCCTGATTCTAAGTCTTGGTGCACCAGCAAATAAGCATATGGAATATATTTTGTCTACTGCTTTGCTACCACAAACTCAGAAACCTTTTATTGCTATGTCAATACAGGTTCATAGCATTGGGGTTCCAAATTAAGGAGGATTTTGAAAAAGAACATTTAATATATTAGTTCTCCTATATCTTTATTTCACAGCTTGGCAGCATTTTGATGTCTCACGGATGCTCTTTTCCACCCCTAACCTCCTATTGATAAATTCCTATTTTATCTCTCTCTAGCTGACATTTCCTGTTATCAGTTCAGCATAGTGAAAGCAGTGCTGTGCTTTTCTTTCCAACAACTCCTTCCCATCCCATGGTTTTTCTGTGTTGAGTACCTTTTTGTTTAACCTCTCTTACAGAATCCTCCGACTTCTTCCACATCCAAGAAGATGCTAAATCCTACTACTATGTGTTTGTTTGTTTGTTTTTACATTGCCAGGATCTGCCCTGTTCTCCAAATCTAATCTTGTTTATTGAACATTGCTTTGAGCTCTCCATGAAGAAACTAATGTCTATATTTTATGCAAGATTACCTCTGTTCACAACAAGCTACTTTACTTATTTATACACCACTTTTATGTCAAAATGGCTTCTAAATGGTTTACCACAATAAAATCATAGAATTGTAGAGCTGGAAGGGATCCTGAGGGTCATCTAGTCCAATGCCCTGCAATACAGGAATCCTGCCCACCACCATCCTTGGGTAGGCATGAGCCACCAACCTTCTGGTTTATAGCCAGATGTGCTGACCCACTGCACCACAATCCATTTAAAAAACAAAAACCATAATTTCAAAATCTTTAATTAAAATATACAATAAACAATCAAAAACAATAAAATCAGAAGTGTGATTCAGGGAATTCTCCCTAAACAAATGTGTATTTAGGGGGTAAAGGTAAAGGGACCCCTGACCGTTGGGTCCAGTCGCGGACGACTTTGGGATTGCGGCGCTCATCTCACTTTACTGGCCGAGGGAGCTGGTGTACATCTTCCATGTCATGTGGCCAGCATGACTAAGCCGCTTTCTGGCGAACCAGAGCAGTACACGGAAATGCTTTAGGGGGGTAGCATAATATTTGATGAAGTATCTTTTAATGCTTATCTGCCTGTGTGTGTGTGTGTGTGTGTGTGTGTAATGAATAGTTTTGAGTGTGCAAGATGCTGCTGGAAAGTCAAGAAGAGAGAGCCATGAACTTCCACTTCAGAGAGGGCCCTCCTTTCATGCTCCTCATTAAAATTAGTGGAGATATATCACTAATTTCCCTAGAGAAGCAATAGTGATAGCTTATTTGTGACATCGGCCAGTCCTCATATCAGACTTATTTGCATGCCTAGTAACCAGTGCTCTTCCCCCTTAGTAGAGAAGTAAATGTTGTTGTTGTTGTTGTTGTTGTTTAAATTAGTATACTGTGCTTCATCTATAGATCTCAGGGTGGTTCACAACATAAAAAATATACAAAAAACCCACAAAATACATAATAAAAACAAGAAAAAAGGAATCACACAAACCAGTAAACCCCCTCTCACACATACATTTAAAAGGGCATTGATAATTAATCAGCCAAAGGCCAGGTTGAAGGGGAACGTTTTTACCTGGCGCCTAAAGATGTATAATGAAGGCACCAGCTGAACCTCCCTGGGGAGAGCATTCCACAAATAGGGATCCACTGCAGAAAAAAAAAGCCTGTTTTCGTGTTGCCACCCTCCAGACCTCTCATGGAGGAGGCACACAAAGAAGAGCCTCAAAGGATGATTGCAGGGTCTGGTTAGGTTCATCTAGAGAGAGGTGGCCCTTGAGGTACTGTGGTCCAGAGCTATTTAAGACTTTATAGGTCAAAACCAGCACTTTGGTGGTTCAGGCCCAGAAGCCAATTTGCATCCATTGCTGTTGGGCCAGGATTGGTGTAATATGCTCAAACCATCTTACCTCAGTGAGCAACCTGGCCACCAAATTCCGCATCAGCTGAAGTTTCCAACCTATCTTCAGAGGCAGTAATCTAACCTAGAGGTTACCAGAACATTGGCAACAGTAGTTGAACTAGCCCTGTCCAGAAAGAGGCGCAGCTGGGCCGTCAGCCGAAGCTAATGGAAGGCACTCAGCACCACTGAGACCACCTGAGCCTCAAGCAACGTCAAAGGATCCCAAACTACCTCTAGCTGTGTACCTGTTCCTTCACAGGGAGAGCAACTCCATCATGAGCAGGCAAACTCCCATCCATCCAATTTAGGGAATCGCTCACTAACAGTGCCTCAGTATTATCTAGATTGAGCTCCAGTTTGTTGGTTCTAATATGAGGCAAGAAAATGGTCCAGCACATCTACTGTTGCAGCTGCAGGTGTAAAGGAGAAGTAGAGGTGTGTGTCATCAGCATATTGCTGACAATGTACTCCAAATGTCCAGATAACCCCACTCAGTGGTTTCACATAGATAATAAACAACATAGGCGCAAGGGATAAAATCAAACCCTGAGGAAGGCTCCACAAGGCCGGAGAACACTCCCCAAGCATCACCCTCTGGAAGTGTCCATCCAAGTAGGACTTAGATCACCGCAAAGTGGTGCCAACCACCCCTAATTCAGACAGCTGACCCAGAAAGATACAGAGGTGGTTTTAGGGTAGCATAATGGGTTCAGCCACACACTGTGCTGCACTGCAGAGGGCACCACAATAATGCTGTAGAAGGGAGTGCGAGAGGCAGGGGCGCCGAATTTTAGCATTGCACGCAGTGTCAAAATTTGAGAGCACAAAGTCTGCTACTGAAGGCTACCATGTCAATGGTACGGAATGTCATCGAGAGGGTGAGGAGAATCAGCATCATCTGCTACCACAGCAGTGACAAGATCCCAATGGATGAAAGCGATTTTGTCCTCAAATTCTTTGCAAACAAGTCACAGTAAGTTATTGACGGTTCCACCACCTCCTTTGGGCATGATTGACGGAGGGTTCACATTAACCAGAAAAGCTCTGCCAGACAGCATAGTGAGGATTTAAAGGAGGCAGCAAAGTATGCCACACAAAACCAGCACTCAAGCGTTTCTCTCTTCACAGAGAGACAGACACGCAAAGACCCAACCATCCCTTGCAGCAGGCGGGGTCAGTCTGGAGAGACGGGATGACTCCTCCCTGGGTTGCAAGTTGAAGACCCTGCCTGCCTCCACTAGGGGGAATCATCCCTATCAGGAATGGCATCCTCTGCATCTGGTAAAAGGCCTTCAAGCATAAAGCTGGTCCTCCAACACTCACAGGAGATTTTCTTCGGCCTTCTCAGGTTGTCATGCTTGATCAACAAAAAATCAAGAATGAGGCAAGCAATGGTTCAGCAGAACCAGCTATTCAGTTAATATTCCTGCCATTTGGTGGGTATTTCTCAAAAAAAAACCAAAAAACCATTCTACGAATTCCTGCAATCTTATTGAAAAGTCATATGGAATATTGCATATGCATTTTGACTCTGCATGATAGAAAGAAGGCCAACTTTAAAGCAGCTGGGTAAAGTGAAATTGCATCTGCATATTATGGTCTATAAATATTAATGTGCTTAGTACAGCTTTATAATGTGAACCACATTACTCTTTACATTCTTGACAAGGTTTTGAAAATATATGATATAAATTAATTGTTACTTGGAGTACTATTTTTTTAACAGATCAAAACAGTAAATAACTTGGCAATTTACTTGAGACACTAATGAGACCTGAAAGCTTTTAAACTGACAAAAAAAGACCAACTTTGATTAATAGATGTACTTCTTGTTACGCAAGTTGATCATATAGCTGACAGTTTTCTCTGTGTACAAATTCATCTGTAAGTTATTATCCTGTGTTATCTAAATGTTATCTAAATGTTATATTAGTGTTTTCTAAGTGTAAGACTTCTTTGGAAGAATGTGCCATCTATTTTGAGGATTCAAGATATACACAGGAGTAAACATTCAATTAGTTCACCTCCTTTCTTTTTGTGTGCTATGTACCTCTGCCCACCGACCAGAAAATATTTGACTTCAATATATTCAAAAAAGATGTGTCCCATGTATATGTAGGGGCGGGGGCTTCCTTAGACAATATTTTAGCACACTGCATAGTCCTTTCATGTGGAGATGGGCAGATTCTCCAGAGGCAGCTCTGGAAAGAGTAGTCTGGAGGAGCAAAGTGGTGACAAAAATTATTGTTTTTGGAGGAAGGATTGAATCCACATTGTTTGTTTGTTTATCTTAAAGATTTATATGACACTTTTCAATTTAAAAATACCAAGTGGTTTACAATGGCAAAATAACGATACAATAAAATCACACCAGACTGCATACATTCACAGTAAAGCAATGAGCAGAGGACAGCTAAGACAACATGACAGTAAATAATAGTGTGTGGAAATGTAACACTGAATCACAAGCGGGAGAAGCTTGTGAACTTGGGATCCGGCTGGCACCTTTGCGCCTCCCCTACTCGCGGGGAAACCCGGTTTCGGGGATCCGGAGCGACGTGGGGTGAGTGGCGCGGTGCTTTGAATCGACTGCTTTTTTCGTGGAGTGAAGCAGCATTGCTGTTGCCGGAGAGCGCTGACTTTTTCCTATGGACAATTGGACTTTAAACAACTACCCGTGAGTAGAACGCAAAATTGGATCTTCAAATAATTTAATTTGGCACCGAAACGGGGAAGGTTTTAAACAGGAAGTCCGCCTTCCCCTTTTTTGTAAATAGATTGAAGCAAAGACGTTATAAGCTAAAGTCTTTGGAAGCTTTTGGCAAAGGATTGAATTTTCATCGGTTAAAGTTACAAAAAAAACCCTGGAAGCAGGGGGGGGGGGATTTTGGACTTAGCGAGCCTACAGGAGGGAGTGAAAAATCAAATTATCACTGCTCCAAACATGGAAAAGGGCTGCCAGAAAAAGGGAAATTTTGGGAGAGTTCATTGACTGTGAACAGAACATTTTTGACAACTAGTTATATAAGAGAAAGATACTGTTTCCATTGTCCTCTTCTGCGTTTAAAAAAGAGGAAAAGTAACTGGAAAGTGAAACTATTTTTATGGTCTGAATTGTGCTTGAAAGGATTGATACAAGTGGAGACTGTTTCCCTCTAGAGGGAGTTTTTGAAACTGTCACAGGACTGAACCAGCTGTATGATAAGTAAGTGTGAGAACTAGAGTTTGACCTTGGACCACTCAAAATGTTGATAGGAGAAACCATTGTGACGGTATTATGTAAGATAAGCTATTCGCTGGAACAGCTCCATAAGAAGATAGATGACACTTCTTTTAAAATTGATAATTTGGACCAAAAAGTAACTAATTGGAGTCAAAAAGTGAGCATCAATACAGGAACAATTCAGGACTTGGCACAAGAAATTACTTTGGTTGGACAGATCGCGGAGGAGAAAGAGAAAGCTGTGGTGGTTGAGCCTAAAGTAATACAAGTGGGATTTTCAGCCATACAGAAGCAAATTGAGGACTACAAGTTGAGGCCTTCTACGATTGAATCTAGAAAAAGCCAGATTTTGAAGATTGGATCCCGGCTTGGACGGAAGAAGGAAAGTTGGAAAGATCCTTCTATGCAGGGATTAACTGACTTTTGGGATATGGACTTGGGTTTGGAGGAGACTGGAGTTTTGGGGGCCTTGGGACTTGGAGGAATATTGAAACATGTCATGAAACATCTTATAGACCTCAGCTTTAACTATGGAAATCTGGCTGACTTGTCCGGAAGGAATAAAAGTATTGCTAGGTTGGAGTTTTCTCGAGATTTGCTTTTTGGCACTAAAGAATATGAAGAA